GTCCCTTGGACTGCAAGGAGATCCAACCAGTCCATCCTAAAGGAGATCAGTCCTGGGTGTTCATTGGAAGGACTGATGCTAAAGCTGAAACTCCAGTACTTTGGCCACCTCATGCGAAGAGTTGACTCATTGGAAAAGACCCTGAAGCTGGGAGAGATTGGAGGCAGGAGGAGAAGGGGACGACAGAGGATGAAATGGCTGGGTGGCATCACCAACTCGATGGACATGAGTTTGAGTAAACTCCGGGAGTTGGTGATGGACAGGGAGGCCTGACGTGCTGCAATTCATGAGTCGCAAAGAGTTGGACACGACTGAGCAGCTGAACTGAACTGAACTGAAATATGTATTATGTCCAGTGATAAGAAGAGCCATGGAGAAAAATTAAGCAAGTAGAAAGGTTAAGGTTTGCCAAACTCCTCCCTAACAAGTCAGCATTAGAGCAGAGATACAAGGAGGAAGTAAGAGATAAAACCAAGTGGATGTCTGGGGAAAGAATGTCTGACAGTCATAGCTAGTTGATTAGCTAAATTTATTGAGCATTTCCTGTATACCAGATACTCTTCTAAGCTGTTCACAGTGCTTAATTTAATTATCAAAAAATTATATAAAGTAGGTACAATGATTATCCCTTTTGCATGTAACTTCTGAAAGTTTACAACTTAACTCTGATCTATCACATGTACTGAGAAAATTTATTCACTCTATATTAAAATATAATTAAACCTCTGATTCAGAGTAGAATCATTTGAATATATGGTAGACTTTTTAAACACATCCTGTTTCAATATTTTTAACACATATCCTCTTAGGAGTACCACAGTATTAGTTGGTGGACATCTACAGGGAGTTTACTTACATAAATTTATTAGAATGGTTTCTTTATCACCATTATTTGTTTAGATGGTGCTTATGGGGACTAGGGCTTCACCAGTGGCTCAGCGGTAAAGAATCCACCTGCAATGCAGGAGACGTGGAATTGATCCCTGGGTTGGGAAGATTCCTTGGAGGAGGAAATGGCTACCTACTCCAGTATTCTTGGCTGGGAAATCCATGGACAGAGGAGCCTGGCAGACTACAGTCCCTGGGGTTGCTAAGAGTCAGATACGACTGAAGAGACAGCATGCATGCGTGCCAGAGCTGCATATGGTGGTTAAAGGAGACAAATCTGAGGTATCACAAATTCTAAACTAAACAGTTAAATGAGATTTTATCATGATATTTATATTCTAAAGGAAAAACTCAATGACCAAATTTGAAAGCAAGTTGGAGCCTCCTGGAGAGGCAGAAGGCAACTGGGACTCCCCCTGAGGTTATAGACCCTGGCCACAGGCAGTGGGGAGCTCATTCTGCCTCACAGCCCCTGGTGCTAGCAAGCTCCATTTTCGAGTCCTCCTTCTAGCCTATTAGCACTGGGGGCTTATGTGCCCACTAATTGATTGCCTCCAGTACTGGGATCCTCAGGCCCCACAGCCAGCTGTGCTGGGACCTAGCACTGCCCACCAACAAGACCAGACCAGCCTTAGGGCCTGCAGACCTGCAGTCAGGAGACCAGAACCCAGCCTAATCCACCAGTGGACTGGCACCAGCCTTAAGATTCCCCAGACCATGTAGCCAGCTGTGTCAGGACCCAGACCCACCCCCCGTTGTTTGGCGGCCCCCGGTTAGGGCGGGCCTTGGCGGCCACTTGGGTTGGGGGTTGGCCTTGCTTCCCGGCTTGCCCCCATTGTTTGGCCCCCCCCCCCCGGAGTTGCCCTCTGGGCCCCTTCCACCTTTTTTTGCCCGGGGGGGGTTTTTTGGTTGGCCCCACAGGACATCTCCTATATAAGCTCACTTCTCCAAGAACAGAAAACGTAACTGGCCTACCTAATGATACATAGAAATAAACACAGAGAATAAAGCAAAAATGAGGTGATAAATAGTGTGTTTCAAACAAAAGAACAAACCCCAAAAGTACTGAGCAAAGCATAGATGAGCAGTCTGTTCACACCAACACCACAGAAATCAAAGGCTCAAAAGAGATTACTGCAAACAACTATACGTGAATAAATGGACAACCTAGAAGAAATGGATAGATTCCTAGAAATTTTCAGTTTCCTAAGACTAAATTAGGAAGAAATAGAAAATATGAACAAATCAATTACCAGTAATGGCACTGAATCGGGATTAATCAAAAAGCTTCCAACAAACAAAAGTCCAGGACCAGATGGCCCCATGGGTGAGTTTTATGAAATATTTAAGGAAGATTAATGTCTGTACTTCCAAAAATTGAAGAAAGATGACTTCTGAATTCATTCTACAAGGCAAAGGTCACCCTGATTAAAAAACCAGACGAAGATGCCACAAAAATCAAAACTTACAGACCAATATCATTGATAGGATACAAAAATCCTTAGCAGAATGTTAGCAAGCTGAATCCAACAATACATTAAAAAGATCATACACCATGTTCTTGTGGATGCAAGGATAGTTCAATATTTTCAAATTCATCAGTGTTACACACCACATTAAAAAAGGATAAAAATCATATGATCATCTCAATAGATGCAGAAAAAGCATTCAACAAAATTCTACATTTATTTATAATAAACTCTGAACTAGGTGGGTATAGAAGAAACGTACCTCAGCAGAACGAAGGCTGTAATATATGACAGTCCCACAGCTAGCATAATACTCAGCCGTGAAAAGCTGAAAGTTTTTCTTCTAAGATCAGGAAGAAGACAAAGATGGCCACTCTCACCACTTTTATTCAACATAGTGTTGAATGTACTAGCCACAGCAATTGAAAGCTGTTAAGACATTATATCCCTAGAGTTTTCATCACAAGGAAAAAATTTTTTCCTTTTTAAAAAATGTTGTCTCTTTAGGAGATGAGGAATAGTGACTGAACTCATTGTGGTAACCATTTCGTGATGTGTGTAAGTCGGTTCATTGTGCCTTATACGGTATTGTATGTCAATTATATATCAGTAAAACTGGAAGAAAAAGACCGTGTATAAATTACACTTTTAAAAAGATGAAAAAGATAGTTTAAGGATAAAAGTGGGAGAGGAAGGCATAAAATGAAAATGTGTTGATGTGAAAAAAAAAAAATGAAAGCAGGTTGAAAAAGCTCTTGAGGTCACTTGTTACAAAGAAAGAAATTTCTGTTTTCAATTATTTCTTGAATTGAAAGGGACATTCTGATGCATATGTGTACTTTCTATGACATGCCAATAGCTTCTAACATACAGGACACCCCAGAATGGTTGCTGCCCCATCAGTGGATTCAAAGATGCTTTGTCAGCTACTCTATTGAGTGCCAGAGTTAAAGCTCTCCTTACTGTTGGAAAGAGAGGCACATCTGTAAAGGAGGGCCACCTCCTGTTGATAGGCTACTACTTCCTGATAGAATTGTGTGATTTCAGTGATTTTGTTTCTTTTTCTAGGTACCCCAATTATGAATTTATTAGTGATAACTCTATCTCTTGGTCAGCTGGACTGCACAATCGATACACAGAAAATTCACTTCGAGGTGTGATCCTGGATATACACTTTCTCTCCCAGGCAGACTTCCTGGTGTGTACTTTTTCATCCCAGGTAAGCATTTTTAAATGGTCAATACTCTGGTTATATTAGGTAAGGAAGTCCTTGGATCTTTTTAAAAAATGTTAGTTATCATGATTCAAGTGCAACATTTTAATATTGAGAAATGATCCCTTTTGTGAAAAGATGAGAAGATTCCAGAAAGCATAGCTTTTTGATTACATTGAACATTCAGTTGTTTGCAAGCAATTGTTGAATACATCTCTAACGAAGCCAGCTACTGGGGTTATTGTAAAGTATTTGGCTTATTCACAGTATTTAACAGAAACAGCAAGTAAGTTTACTTAATACTTTCTGATTTTGCGTTCTATCAATATGTAACCAGAATCCATCCATTTCTACACGTCAGTGCACTGATACTGAGAGACTTAAATGCTCAACATTTTGCTTTACTTCATTGCTTTGTAGAAAATAAGAAAGAGGAAATGTAATTCCTCTTCAAGTCCTTTTACATTTCTACCTAGCAAGAAACAGTACAATATATTTAAGCAGTACCATCTTATAATCATCCTTTGAGTTTAACTGTTACAGAAAAAGTATATGTTATTGGTTTGGTGTATGTTTTTATGAGTGTCCAATCAGCCTTATTTGCCCAGTGGAATATCAACATAGGAATATTTGTCATGGATTTTATTCAGCTCTCTTATTTATGTGCATATTATTGGTTAGTTTATTCAACATGCTATTAAATGGTTGTTTGTGCTCAGATCTGTGCTGGGGTAGAGGGAATTTCATGGGATTGAAGATACAGATCTTAGCCTGGTCCAGAATCTAGTGAGCAAAATATTCACATGAAATAACTAGAGAATAATTACCGAGAAATATAAACCATGTGAGATAAATATATGCCTGAAAGCTTGAAGAAGCAGAGAAAAGAAAATGTGAAAAGGAAAGTCACGTCATTTACATGGAGATAGACTGCAGAGAGTATAAAGAAAATAGCCAGTTTTTATTATGTGACAATGCACTTTATCACAATGGTGTGGTGATATGATTGTTGGAAAGATACTTACCCCAACAAAGGCTGTATGAGTTCCTTCAGTGTGGAATAAGACTACAACTTAAGACCCAAAGACAGCTACCCAGAACGGGAGTCACAAAGCAGCAGTCCTCATCAGAAGGGAAACAAGAAGGCATCCATAGCTGATATTTCTCCCTAAGTGGGGTTAGGATCCTATCATTGAGAAGGTCCCTTTTCTATTCTTATGGGAGGTGGGGGGAGGAGTTGTAACTACCTAGTTCCTCTCAACTGCTTTTGATAATCTGGCTATGTTCCTGTGTGATCAACAGGTGCAAATAACACATTTTCGAATGGTTGTTGTTAGAGCGATTGAATCAAGAATGACTTTTCCAGATGCACTACCTCCTCCTTAGGCATAAATTTTAGGCCTAAAGTCTGTTCCTTCAGTCCAGGGTTTCTCAGCCTGGCACCATTGACTTTGGGAGCTGGATAAGTTGTTGTGGGCCATTGTATTGTGCACTATAGCTTGCTTAGCAGCATCTGTGGCCAGTAGACCCTCATCTCAAGTTGTAACAATCAACAATGTTTCCAGACCATTGCCAAATGTCCCAGGTGGGAGAAATGGGAGGGCAAAATCATCCTTGTGAGAACCGCTGCTCTAATTATAAAGCTCTAAAATTAAATAAAGGGCTTTCCAGGTGGCTCAGTGGTAAAAGAATACACCTGCTAATGCAGGAGATGCCAGTTCAATACCTGGATTGGAAAGATCCCCCTGAAGGAGGAAATGGCAACCTACTCCAGTATTTTTGCCTAGATAACCCCATGGACAGAGGAGCTTATCTTTGCCTACATAATCCCATGGGGTTGCAAAGAGTCGAACACAACTGAGTGACTGAACACATGCACACACACTCGAAATTAAATAAAGCATGTCTAAACATTGGCACATCTTACGTGTAGGTAGACGGTGAGACTCACAAGTGCTCTGCGTTTTGCTTCCTTTCTTCCAACTCTCCTTAATTAGGCCGTTAGGGTTCATTCTGGAAAGAAAAATCTTTCTTTTTATTCCTTTTTAGTGATGTGCTATAGAATTTTTGATCCTTATAGCCTCGTAACTCTTTTGACCCAAAAGTCAGGAGCTCTGTCACTTCATGATAATGGAAACCTGTCCAGATTTGAAAAGCATATTGTTCATACTTCTTTGTTCTATTTTATGCGTAATATCAACCTCAGTGTGTTCTTCAGACCTCATATCCAGAAAGACAGTTTATATGAAGAAAGAGTGCTGAGAGGTCTGATTGTGTCCGAAGGAATAAGATTCATGATTATATATTATATTGTTTGTTAAAACTCTTGGCAAGTCAAAGTTCATCCAAAAGAACTCTCATTTGAACCAATATTTTGTGTCCCAAAATAGATTTAAATCTCTCAGACATTTTATGTTAGGGTTCAGAATAAAAGTTTAATAGTAAAAATACCTTATATCTATATAATGAGTAGCAGTTTGCTAAATGTGATCACCTCCTTTCTTGATGACTAATGGCTCTAGTGTTTGATATTGTGGAATAATTCCACACTTGGTGATAAATCTTCGAGCTTACTTGCACTCCAGTATTTTTTGAAAATATTTTTAGTATAAAGGAATTTGATACAGTTTAATATTTTTATAGTGTGAATAAAGTTGGTTGCTGGCTCATAGAAATTTCCTTGCCATTGATTTCAAAATTGGGATTTTTTCAGAAAAATGCCCCCAAAATGTCTCAACAACAGCAGCAGTGGAGTTTGAGAACTCACTGATGGCATAAGTGTCAAACCTTTAACTTCCCAAGGCAGGGAACAAGATGAGGCATTGTTGGTTCTGGGGTCACACTACCTGGGTGTTAAATCCAACTTTGACCACTTAGTGACTGTGGCATTTGAACAGATTACTTAGACTATCACTGACTTTTTTTCCCCCTTCCTGTAATAATAGTAATAATAATACCTACTGCATAAAGTTTTTGTGAGGATTAAAGAGTTATTATAGGTAAAAAGCACTGAGAATAGTACTGAGCAATATGTTAAATGCAATGTTACCTGTTATTATGTATATAGGAATAGGTATAGGACTATTTTTGCCTGTTAGACTCTACAGTATTTATTTGAGCAGCTCTTTTTCACATGCCCCCATTTCAGTCTATATGTTCTCACATTTTAGAAGGAACGTGAAACATGCTATTCAAGCACACCATTACCTCTACTTATGGTCACAGGTGATGTGTAGGGTCCACCTAGTCATTGTGTGCACTGATACATGTAACAGTTCTTCATAAAGAAGAACAAACAGTAACATTCAGCATATTAATTTCTATGCCAAAGCACCATCTTAATTTTATTTAGCTTATTGAAGGACAGCATCACCATGTATTGAATTTTAAAAAACAAAAACTCTTCATTCCCAAAGCATGAGTGATAAGTAACAGTATTTGCTGTAGCAAATGTAGGTGAACTTGTAAAGTTTTAACTTTAGGGAAATTAATCTGCAGGCTTTCTTATATATGCCACAGGCATGCTAGAAAGTGGGAAGGCGGACAAGAAAATAAAACAATGAGAACCAAATCTCAGCACAGAATAAAACATGGACAACCAACTTTCAAATTTTCCTTGATGATAATCTCATTTCAAGAGATGGTGAGAAGGAATAAAAGTTTAGACTCTTCTTCATAATACTTTGGCAATTCTACAGTTTCAGTTATGTAAACTTTCTGTCTCCTATATTCTACTACGCTTTGAGAGCATTTTTGTTATATAACAAGTGAGAGTTTATCTGTTGACGGTGTGCTACTGTAGAAAATCCTGGAAGAATAAAATGCATTGTTGGGAGGAAATTGCAAGGCCTGGTTGATATTTAAGAAACTACAGGCAGAAATGTCATGACTCCTTAATCAGGATTCTTTATAAGGTTTTGGATCCATTCTTCTCAGCCTGAGGGCTTCTAAACATCCTTGGTTTTATATCCACAAATAAGGTCTGGCAATTCNCAGGCAGAAATGTCATGACTCCTTAATCAGGATTCTTTATAAGGTTTTGGATCCATTCTTCTCAGCCTGAGGGCTTCTAAACATCCTTGGTTTTATATCCACAAATAAGGTCTGGCAATTCTCTCTCCTTAAGTGAAAAGTTTTTAAAAGCCAAGAATATGACTCTGCTCTCTAATTTTGTTACTGTTGTTACTCTTAGTTTTCTGAATTCCTTCATCAAAGCTGTTTCTCAAAGCCAGGTTTGTCCTAAAAGCTTCATAAATGGAGGAAAACAAGCTTTAGGATTTAGTCTGAAATTTAGAGGCAGTAATTTTCAAGAACATCAACTAAGTTTTGAAAGCTATGCAGTGAGTCACATTACAGACTATTCTACCAAATACTCTAACCTTGTTCTGTGTTACTGGAAGTTGTATATGCCCTAAGCATCTACTATGTCGTTTATTTTCATATTAAATGAAATCATCTGAAGCAAAGAAATTACATTTGGAGAAATAACAGCAGTTGACAGCTCACTCAGTTGTAGATGGGCAATATCAGAAGGGTTTTGTTTTTTGTTTTTAATACTGCCTATCAAGTTTTAGAATCAGGTTTTATCATTTGGAATCTCATTTACAAAAATGGTTGTAGATAACCATTTTAAAGACTATAGGTAATCAACATTTTTTAAGGAGCAGTCAGTATTGTTCAGTAGTTTCTCGGTCATGAAAATCACCATAGGACAAATTTTTTTTTCCCCCTGAGACACTTCCTGTGTGGCACTTAATGTGACATTCTTGTGGCATTTTCTGTTGTTTCATTCCAAATCACACACAACACAACTGGCTTCGTCACACTTTGCATCAGATTTTGGAAAGCCCAGAAGGAGAAGCCAGGCACTAATTGATTTTATTTCCAGACAGACGGCTCTGGATACAGATCTCCATGGAGGTGTGGTTATGAAATAGCAGTGGATACTGTCCTCTCACTGAAGAGCAAAACAGAGCAGTTTACAGTAAAAACGCAGATACCCCAGCCTCACACAGAGAGACACAAGCCCACTTCCAGCCTTTCACACTTGGGAGATCTTTCTGGCCCCATCTATTTTGACAGAAAACCAATGTCCCTTCTGCTCTCAGAAAGCTTTGGACGTTCACGCAAAGCTCAGCTGGTTGTTAGGGACAAAATTCAGACTTTCCTTGAACTTTCCTTCCTTTTTAAATTTTTTTTTAATACAATCATATCTATGTTTTATCCTTTGGCAGGATTTTTGCTCTTATATTGATTTTATTTCCAGACAGACGGCTCTGGATACAGATCTCCATGGAGGTGTGGTTATGAAATAGCAGTGGATACTGTCCTCTCACTGAAGAGCAAAACAGAGCAGTTTACAGTAAAAACGCAGATACCCCAGCCTCACACAGAGAGACAGGAGCCCACTTCCAGCCTTTCACACTTGGGAGATCTTTCTGGCCCCATCTATTTTGACAGAAAACCAATATCCCTTCTGCTCTCAGAAAGCTTTGGACGTTCACGCAAAGCTCAGCTGGTTGTTAGGGACAAAATTCAGACTTTCCTTGAACTTTCCTTCCTTTTTAAATTTTTTTTTAATACAATCATATCTATGTTTTATCCTTTGGCAGGATTTTTGCTCTTATTCATAACTGTGTGCTTAGTAGTGTTCTAAAAACAATACAGTGACACGTCAACAGTGGGTGAAATAAAGCATATTACATGTGGCCATCCACTGCTTTGCAAACCATAGAGACGACTCCTCTCAATCATGCTACCTGTCAAGTATCAAAGATGAGTATTGACATCAGCTGGAAGGCGTCATTTACCTGCTATGTGATTTGGATTTGTAAAGCCCAGAGAGGACACCTAGAGTGATTAAATGCAAACATTGACACTATAGTCAGCTTTCTAACTCTTTACAGTAAATTTCCCCCTGGTTAACATAGAGAAAAGAAATGAATTACTCAGAATGTTATATATGAATCTTAAGGATTAATATCACCAGTGGGCTTGCATCTCAGCTGCTGGACTGGTATTAGACGGAGCAGTATTCATTCAGAAGCTGCTTATTGAATGGCTGCTTTGAGGCAGGGACTATTCTCGGTTCTTATCCCAACACTCTAAGGCAGTTCAGTGTGTGGTTTAGAGACAGAGTCCAAATTACATTTCTGCCATTTCAGTCAGGTCAGTTCAGTCACTCAGTCGTGTCCAACTCTTTGCGACCCCATGGACTGCAGCACGCCAGGCTTCCCTGTCCATCACCAACTCCCAGAGCTTACTCAAACTCACGTCCGTTGAGTCGGTGATGCCATCCAACCATCTCATCCTCTGCCGTCCCCTTCTCCTCCCGCCTTCAATCTTTACCAGCATCAGAGTCTTTTCCAATGAGTCAGTTCTTCACATCAGGTGGCCAGAGTATTCTGCCATTTACTAACCCCTTTATTCATTTTGTTTAATTTTTGAAAATTAATCTTTCTTTGGTATAGTTTCTTCAGCTATAAAATATAAATATAATAGTAACCAACTCATAGGGTTGTTGTGAGGGTTAAATGAGTTGAGAAAAAGTGTGTGTACAAGCCCAGCTATTAGAACAGTGGTCAGTGGGCTCAGCTGCTCTCATTATTGCCATTATTATAAGAAGGAGCCTTTTATTGGCCCACCTCTGTATCTGAAAGCTCTACCATTTGTCATTTCTTTGGCTTAGAAAAGTATGTATGTTATCCATCAGGTTCATACATCAACAAGTACTGATTGTGTTCTTGTTGTTCAGACACTAAGTCAGGACCAGCTCTGCCACTCTGTGTACTGCATTATGCCAGGCTCCTCTGTCCTCCACTATCTCCTGGAGTTTGCTCAGATTCATGTCTATTGAGTTAATGATGCTGTCTGACCATCGCATTCCTCTGCCACCCCTTTCTCCTTTTGCCTTCAATCTTTCCCAACATCAGGGTCTTTTCCAGTGAGTTGGCTCTCTGCATCAGGTGACCAAAGTATTGGAGTAACTATTGCTACCAAACATAAACTGATCATTAGGAATACCCTCAAAAGAAAGCACGTTCCTAAGGGTGTGGGACTGAAGGCAGTGTTGTTTTTATGAGAATGAGAAGTTAATTAGTGAAAGGAGAAGACACATCAGGGTCCTTTGCCATGATGGACATTGTGATCATCCCAAGGCAGTACAAGGTCTAGCATCCCTGACTAAGGATAATTGGAAGGGGGGTGGAGGGGCCCTGAAAATACTACTCAGGTTTTCCCAAGGCCTGCCTTGGCCTTACGCTATCTAAAATGTGAGCATGGAGAATAGGATCTGCAAGAAAAAATATGCTTAGCAGTTAACAAGGATACACATTCTACCTAGGTTCAAAACCTGAATATGCTACTTAATAATAGTATAACTTTGGCCATTTTTCTTAACTGATCTTTGACATCCATAAAACAAACATGATAGAATATTATGGGACTCCTGACAATTAAATTAGACATTAGAAGCAATGTTCAACAGAAAAAAAACTAAGTAAAACTCAGTAAATATTAACCTCTGTCATTGTTATTGTACTTTGCTATTCTTGGAGCTGCTTTGTTTTAATTATTTATATTCTTTCTTTCCAAAGTCTTCACTTGATTTTGCGTGCCCTGTGTGGACCTTTGACTAAATATGAAGTTCAAGTTCAAAATCCTTTTTAGCCTCATTTTGCTATAGTTTCAGTATTCTACCAGTGATGTCAATCATACTGTGACATTCCCAATATAAAATTAGTTTGTGGACAAAGTAGCAGATTTGAAAGCAAACTTATTCTCTTGGTTCTATGTCTAGTTGAAATCCTAGCACTAGAATTAGTCCCTATCTGCAAAATTAAAAATACTATCTAAACTTAGTTTTATTTGCAAATTACTTATGGTATTTAAAAAGTGCCCCTCCAGTTCCTGAAATTCAGGTTTTTTTTAAAGACTTAAATTGATGATTAACCTAATCATATTCCATTTACTCATAACACTTAAGAATTCAGTTTTGATATTGTGAATGCCAAAGTTTTTAAGAACTACTGGGTATCTTAAATTGCTCCACTGAGAAGATTAACAATTATTATTAGCATCATTTTAAATATGTGCAAAAGTATTGATATAGGGACAATAAAACTTCATTAACTAAGATAACTACAACTGGAGATGTAGAAAAATTTGACCTCAGTTGAGTCCTCTGTTCATAATATATAATGGAAGAATTTTCTAAGCAAAATGATAGTATTCTCTTTTGTTTTCACTTATTTTTTAAAAAGTTTCTGAAGCCCATTTACTATATAATGAATATATTTGTTAGTTGCTTAAAATGTTATACCTCCGTTAAGATAGTTAACCTTTATTAGCAAGTCTGAAGTTCAAGGAATGAAGCTCAGTCTGTGGAATTTCAGCTGCCATCCAGTGAGAATAGTAGGTGTTCTTTGGACGGAGGAATCTTTTAAGTAGCCTTAAATGCATCAGGTAGATGCACCTTCCCCAAAGGCTAGTTCATCTTGTTTCAATCTAGACTGCTGCTATCTACACATCACACATAAGACTCTTCAGAACAGAAGTGGCAGATATGTTTTAGCTCATTTGGCAATAGTTGATTGTCAGTAATTACATGAGTTTCTGTTGAGAAGAGTTTTGAGACCAGATCTAAATTAGCAGAAAAGAGTTTTTTGTTTTTTTACCCTTGATTGAAGGGGGGGGGGCGGCGGCTTTTTTGTAAGTTTTTTTTATTCTTGACCTTTAGTTTGCCCAGGGGCCCGGCTTTTTTTTTTTTTGCCCGGTTTTTTTTGGTTTTTATTAGTTTTTTTTTTTCAAATTCTTTTTCCTTTTTTCTCCCCTTCTTTTTTTTTTTTTTTGGGTTCTTATTTTTATTTTTTTTTTTTTTTTAAAAAAAAGATACAGGCAAAGAAATGAAGAGTGACTTTGTACCATCATCTCAGAGCAAATGGACTGAAAACCTGTGACTCATTCTCTCAGTCCCAGTCCTAGTTTGGTCCTCGTCTCTTTAGCAAGGGCTCTCAGATTCCTACGAAGGCGATCTTACATGTACTAACAAATATTTTTTTCATGCTTTCCCAAGGTCTGTCGAGTTGCTTATGAGATCATGCAGACACTGCATCCCGATGCCTCTGCAAACTTCCATTCTTTGGATGACATCTACTATTTTGGAGGCCAGAATGCCCACAACCAGATTGCCATTTATCCTCACGAACCTCGAACTGCAGATGAAATCCCCATGGAACCTGGAGATATCATTGGTGTGGCTGGAAATCATTGGGATGGCTATTCTAAAGGTGTCAACAGAAAACTGGGAAGGACGGGCCTGTATCCCTCCTACAAAGTTCGAGAGAAGATAGAAACGGTCAAGTACCCCACATACCCTGAGGCTGAGAAATAAAGCTTAGAGGGACCAGAAAGACCACCAAACTCAGTTCAAACCATTTGAGCCAAACAGTAGATGAAGAAGGCCCCAACCTAACAGCCCATGGTTAAATTGAGTCAACATCTTCAGCATCAGGAGCAGCTGGGATCTGACAGATGCTTCATTGGTGGAATTGCTTTTTAACAAGGGCTACAGTGCCCTTAAACCCATGCACAGTCCAATAATGTACTCACGTATAACACGCAAACAGATTGTTTTCTACGTTACCCCTTCTTTCAAGACTATGTCCCCATGAAACAAACACTGCCACATTGTGTAATTTAAGTGACACAGACATTTTGTGTGAGACTTCAAACATGGTGCCTATACCTGAGAGACCTGTGTGACCAAATGAGATGACTTGAATAGTTCCCTCTTGTGGGGAGCTTGATTCTTAGCCAGTGGTGGTATTGTAACCACTGAATTCACTCCAGTCAACAGATTCAGAATGAGAATGGATGTTTTTGTCTGGAATTTTTTTTTTTTTTAAGTAATTGCACCGGTTCATCCACCTCATCATTAATAAGTGAAGGATACAACAGAAAATAAAATATTCACACTCCATTAGGAACTTTTGTAAAACAATGCCATGAACAGATTCTTTAGTACTCAATGTTTCTGGACATTCTCTTTGATAACAAAAAATAAATTTTAAAAAGAGGAATTTTGTGGAGTTTCTAGAATTTTATATCAGATGATGATGTAGTCAGCATTATAATGGAAAATGATGATAAAAAGAGGAGTTTTACAGTTTTTCTGCTTTACTTTTTTATTTTTCTGTTTTGGATTGAATGGCTTAGCTCAGAGAGTCATTGGTCCATTTTAACAGTGAACACTGAGTCTAGTTGGTGCACTTTATAGAGTTGCTCAGAACACTCTTTGGGAGTTTTTATTTTATTATTAATATTTTGGACATTGTTTATTTGTTTTAATTAATCAAATAATCATACTCCTTGCTCTCAGAGGAACTATCCCCTCCATTTCCAAACTAATAATTTCAGGCTTGTTCTTTCTTATTGGGGCTATTGTCACTTTTTGTGAGTTGAGTCCTGTTATTTCAGCCAAGAAATGATTTTGTGCCCTTTGCTATCATGTCCTGCTTTTGAGAGTACCAGAAATCTGTGGTGTTAGGAAGCTGGCTCTGTTTCTGAAATGCGTGTCCAACAGTATATAGAGTTTGGTGAACAAAGTAGAGGGGAACCAGTATGAGACCAAAAATGAACTTGGGATTATCTCATCCAGGTATTTCTTTTTAGTAATTCTATATCAGACTCACTTCAAAAGACAAGACTTTGATGCCCCCTATGCTTTCTGTCTGAATGTCACTTTTCTCCTTATAAGATCACTTCCTCTTCTCAGCGGCCTGCCTCTTTTTAGATGCCTGGTAGGAGTATTTCATAGCATTGTTTTATCTTCTGAAAGAAAATTTTGATCCATGTAGGAACCAGTAGTAGGCCTGGTATTAAATTTTAGGAATCCTAGACAAAAAAAATCCTGTCCTTCACATCATCTCTAAATGAAAATGTCTGTATATAAAAAATCCCCACCAAACTTCCCTAAATTCTTCCTACTTTTCCAGTCAAGTCTCCCAGGTCTAACTGTCTAGTATCAGTAAGCAATTTTCAATTTAGTTTTGGTACAAGTAAGTCATTTGAGACAAAAATTTCCAACTGAGCAGAGGTACTTTGAAATGTGAGTTATTTTCTAATTCTCATCTCACTTGTCATCAGAGCATCAGTAACCATGGGTTTTTATTTCTTCTGCTGAGATCTCTTGTTTTTATTCATTATGAGCTCATTTTCCTCTGCTTCTTTGAACGTAGTTATAATAATTGCTTTAAAATCCTTTTCTGCTAAATCTAATACCTAATTAATCTCAAAGTTAGTCTCTATTTGTCTTTTCTCTAGAGAAAGAATCATTTTTCTGGTTATTCAAATATTAAGTAAATTTAGATTGTATCTTGAATATCATAAGTGTTTATGTTGTAGATTCTGTTATATTCCTCTGAAAAGCACTGATGTTTTTGTTTGTACAGACATGTAACTTCATTGGACTCAAACTGTAAACTGTGTCTTGGGCAACAGCACAAAATCTAAATTATTTTATCTTTACCTGGAGTCTGCCCCACATGTATATGGTTTAGGAGTCAACTAGAGATAAGGGTAGATTTTACATATAGAATTTGAAGCCCTTTCTTTGGCTTTCTGTCTTCTGAGATTTCCATCCTCACTTTCCAGCAGCTGTCATTGCTCTGATTCTGTGACGTCCTCTGCTTCTTTAGCCAGAAAGATGGCAGTTTTCTATCCACCTAAAAGCCATAAAAATGGAAAACTCATCTTGTACCTTTCTATTCTTCCAAGTTTCAGCCTCTTTCCAGAGTTCGTCTGCTACTTCAGTGGCTTTGGGTAGCTTTTTCTTATTTTGTCAAATGTTGATCATTGTTATCCGTTGGAAGATCTGTTCAGTAGGTGCTAAAACTCTGTCATACAGGAAGTGAAACTCTGAAGCAGAGATTTAAAGTGAAAAAGTATGGTGGGCGAGGGAAGAGTCTCTGTTTAGATTCTGACCTTAATAGCTAAGCAGCCAATAGCTTTAAGCAGAAAGCAAAACAAAACTACCAAATTGTTGAGCTTGCAGGTGTGAATGACAAATGAATACTGCTGACCACTGCCTTCTGAAAAACTTTTCTGAGCCACATTTTTGCACATCATCAAGTACATGCCATATAGGCTGCCCTGTTGGGAGGACTGACATTTCTTCACCACTGTTCTAATTTCTCCATGAAAATCTGGTACTTTAATAAAAGTCTGCATGGTTTTGGATCAAGTGGCCAAGGCAAAATTAAGAAGATTTGGGTCTTTTCCTTGTTACTAGACCCGTTTCTGAAAGAGCTTTACCTCAAACAAAGTTATTAGCCTGGGCTCATTGAATTTGGATACCAGCATCCTGCACACTAAAGACAAAAAAAAAACAGTTAAAAAAGTTCTTCCTGGTCCTGCCACTCAAGTCTGATTTAGTACTGAGCTGAACTTAAAGAGTTCATGCCTGTTGTCAAAGTGCTCTCAGCTCTATTCCAGGATTTCTTTGTGTCCCAAGTGAATGAGACTCATTGCTTCCCTCTCTGATCTTTAGGTTTTTTCCTGTCATATAGAGTGTAGCCTGTTGAGAACAGGAATGACCTCAGCTTCTGAGGAGCTTGAGAGTTTATAAAAGAAAAAGCACATCTAAAAAGCTATCTCACAGAGTGATTATTGTCATCACCTTTTAGTTAGAATGCAATCACTGTGTATTCTTTAAGCAGGAAAAGTATTGGAGTCTAAATGGTACCTCTAGAAGAATGTCCTCTGTCTCAGTGAGAATAAACCTCTTTTACTTGAGGCAGCAGACATGTCTTCTTTGACCACAGCCAACTGCCTGATACTTCATTTGTTCTCCTGGGAGGCTGTACAATAGCCAGGATCAATAGTCTACAGCATAGTTGTATGGCTTGGGAACTTGGCAATAACACCCTAATTTATGCCAGATGCAGACTCTGGGTAATTTTTACAATGCAATGCCCAGAAGGAAGCACGAAGAAGAAGTTGCCTCTGTGATTACTGGTTCCTGACAGCAGTCTCTGTCTTGGAAACAGGGAGAAGCTGTTCCAGGATCCTTGGCAGGGCAGACACAGGCCACAGCAAGTTCTTTGGCTTCGGCGTTCACTGATGTTATGCATGTTTGAAGTTGCCCTTCAACAGTACATTCACTTTTGGTTCCTTCATACAAGTCAGAATCTCTGAGTACCTAGTCAGCTGTTCAGCCTTGCCATCTGCAGTCCAGTTAAGTTGCCACCTGCTTTTTCCTCTCCTTATTCTTAAGACAGTCTTGAGTTTGTCTGTGTACAGAAAATGATCTCACGTGAATGGTTCCTTTGTTATTGTTCCATTGTTCATGCAGTTCCTATACTAATTACTTAGACTATAGTTTTGTCATTGGCATCTCCCAGATAACAAGGAAACATCAGTCCCCTTGGACAGTTTGAGGTAATATAGGCCTGAATCTGAGATGTAATGGTGCTGTTAATACTGTGTATTCATGGGCATTTAACTTAAGCTAAACATTTCAAAGGTTTTTAACAAATCAGTGTCCTTATACTCAAGGGGAATGTGGCCAGGGCATCCTTTGCTTAAAAACTATGTCAATCAGAACAGAACCTGCACTTTTGTAAAAAGCAGTGTATGGAAGGTCATAGCCATAACCATTTGATGTTTTGGGAAGAGAATCAGGAAGAGAGTTCAGGGCTCCTACTGACCCGTCATCTGTAACTGTAACCTCTCCTCCTTTTTTGAGTCAGTGTCCTGTGGAGGCTATTGTTCCCTAACTGCCTGTGTGGGTAGAGAAAAGGCCATTAACCAAGAAAAAGCAGCATGTTTGTTCATCACCCAGCTGGGCATGAGAGCATCTGGTGGAGGCTGGGAATGTGCACTGCTTTGTACAGAGAGCACAGATAGTTTGGACTGTGGGTGTGGTCATCAATCTGAGGAATGCTGGGACTTGGGGTTTCCGGCTAGTCTTAAGCTCCCTAGTGGATTGCCACCCCTAAGAATTTTCTGGCCCAGCATAGAAAATGAAGGGAAGTTAAGTGTGTACAAAGTCAGAAGACCAGTTCTCGATTTTGCTTCTCCTTGTCATAGTGCCTACAAGCTGATACGTCCCCGTACCTCAGATTCTCCAGAGGAAAGATCAGTGATACTGAAAGTCTCTGAACTGGGCTTGAGAACAACTGGCCTTCCATCTTGTCGCTGCCATTGAATGTCACATCATTCTCAGAGTTCCATTTTCTTCGTCTGTGAACTGAATTGTTTGGATTTAATCCGAGTTTGTAAATGTTACTGTCTGTTTGGTTTCCATGTGTCTAAATTGGGTAGCTACTACTCGGCCTCAGTGGATTATTGTGCTAAGGCAAAATGTGGCCAGATCCTTGTTTTTCAAGAGAAGCCAAATCTATTTTTATACAAAATTTTAAATACTAGTATCTAATTTAAAAATGTAAGACACTAAAAGAGTACAGAAGAGACATCAGTGGCTACTTTCAGTCCCTGGTCCATTAGTTTACAACCTCTGGGCTAGATCTAGAAAGTGCTAATGGCAAGGCTCTGTCTCTGGATTGGTCAGATGGCTAACAGCCATACAGTGCTTTCAGGTTCCGTTGCTATGTATGTCCCAATTCTTGGGCAGTGTCTGCTCGGCTGGCTCTCATCCTGGGTGCAGAGAAACTTACCGTGCTGAAGACAGCTGTTGCTGTGATAGCTCAAGCCCTGAGTCCCCCTCAGACTTGGTCTTGAGGGTCCTCAGCAGCTGTGTCCCAGCTCCCCTGACCACCAGTCTTGCTTTCCTGCAGCAGGTTCACAGACTCGTGATGACTCTACAACCCATAAACTGAGCTGTCACCTCAGGGAGTCCCCACTGTTCCCCATCACACCCAAATAGCAGGATATCAGAGTATGCCTCAAGCCTCTGGTTCACAGTGTAGAGAGGTTGGGAACTTGTCAGTAACACCTTAATTTATGCCAGATGCAGACTCGGGGGAATTTTTTAAAAGCCAGATGCAAACTGGGGAATTTTTACGGGGATTTTTGGTAGTCTTTAAGAAAGTATGCTGAACTAAGAGGTGCTAAATGCTTG